CTGACTGAGGTGAAGAAAAAGAAGAGTGATTAAAATATCGATTAGACTAATCGAAAGAAAAATACAAATTAAAAAAAAAATTTCAAAAAAAAAAAAAAAAAAAAAAAATCAAAATCGAATCCGTGTATTTTTTTAGAAGAAAAACTCTCAAAGAAATTTTTGAAACACCTTTAAAAATACAAAATTTTAAAAGAAATAAACACGTTTTTGTTTAAACTATTGCTGTACCGAATATTCGTTTCGTATTCGCTTCAGGGCCGAATAGTGGACCTAATAACTATTCGGTATTAGGCCGATTACTTGCTGTCGGGCCGAATTCGAATAGTGGTTACCTTACACCCGTTTCTGCATACACTGCGATGGACTGAAATAACTCTCTCATTACCACAATAGTTACTGTTGCCTAAGTCTGAAAAGATCTGTGAAAGGAGAGATTTAGGAAGACAACGAGAGAAGATACTTGAGAGTCTTGTTGCATGGCATGGAGGTGTGTCAGCACACGAACTAATACATGCTGCAGGAGATCGCAGATTGTGGCGAGGCATTATCGCCCACGCCAGTCAGCAAGGCACCTGATAATGATGATACACTATTCGCATTCGTATTCAGCCGAACAGGGAAAATCACTATTCGGTATATCCCTAGTTTAAACCAGAGATTCGATTTTGCGCTTTATTAACTACGCTAGAGCATCTTAAGACCATTTGTGGTTTGAGCTCGCATGAAGAAGCTATAACAGGCACTCAGTGTTCAGGCATTCTCTGTTTGGGCTCCAGGTTTCCTGTGTACACGGTAGGTCATCGTCAGAGGACTGCCAGTTTAGAATAGGTCAACCAATTTGTATGTGTGTGCGCGAGCGCGTGCGCGCGGGCGTGCTTTGGGCGGGCACTATTTTTGGGTTCTAGTAGCATTCGCTGAATTGTTGAATTGTGAAACTCCACTAAACACTTATCCACAGGAAGAGATACTAACTGTAAGTCAAATACTGAAGAACCTGATTTTGAAAAAGGAATGAGTCCAAGTCCATGCCACAAAAAAATCATAACTCGACCATGTTTAACTTGCTACTGCTAGCTAGTTGAAGCCGCACAAGTCTCTGGTTATGTTTGTGGTCAAGTACTGTGTGTCATAACACGGCTTAAAACCATTCTGGGGCGAACATGGGGCACACCTGTTGTATGTATTAGACATGTCTTGGCTGTACCGACCGTTGCTGATAGACATGATAAGCTGGTGGCTGGGTACTATCTTAGAGTGGCAAGCGATATGGAACATATACTGCAAAGGGTATATTGTGAATGGTGACAGAATAAAGAGGGCAGACCCTGGATGGGCCATGCAGAAAAGACAACCAACATGGTCTGCAACATTAAAGAAATTGGCCGAGGAGAAACACAAGAATGTGTGAGTGTACCAGAGGGCATAGAAGTGCTGCATAAAGTGGTAATTAATAAACTTTGAAGTGGAGTGCAGGGAAAGGGCAGCGGGACGTGCTGATGCAGAGGTTTAACCGCTGACAAAGAACAATTGTTGACTAGGATATGTGATATATACACTGATGGATCAGTTGTCAGGGACAGGAAATGTGATGGATGGTGTTTCTTTGCAAAAACATATGAAGTAGGTAACTGAAGAGAGCTTGGCATATGACCATACCACGCCCAGCATGAGAATGAAGGTTGATATGGTAACTGGCGGCATTCAGATAGGTGGAATAATAGCTCAGCCACACATGTTTTCATAGTGTCGGATTCGCAAAGCATGCTCAGGAAGGTGGAATCCGGTTTTCTTTGTTTGTAATGGATTATATAAATCCAGATATTTTGCCCTGGACTTTCAGAGATGTTTGGGAATGAGCAGGCAGACAGACTGTCTGTAAAGACCCCATCAGGAGGTGTACTGTAACTGCACACGGCAGCGGTGATCTCTAGTCTGTGGGACAGGCTAACAGGCGAAATGGAAGATACTGAAAACTCGTACCTGGAGAGAATGACATAGCAAGGAGAGACTGTGAACTGTGGGCGCCACTTGAGACTCCGAGAGAAGGCAAGAGGAGTAGTTAACCAGACGTCAATGGGTACTATCAGTGTGGAAACTCTTCACTGTCTGTTGAGGAGGGAGTCGTCGCTAATACTGGCTTGTCCTGAATGTTGTAATGTCCAGTCTTTACACAGATGATCCCAACAGAAGGGAGACAAGTATAAATGTGAACATTAAAGGAATATCAATATTATCTACAAACTACAAGATACTATCGGCGGTACTGCTAAAGACGCTAAAACTATATGTCGAAGATTTATTAGTGATTGCCAAGCTGATTTTCATTTTACGGCAAACAGCAGAGGAGCGGCTGGTCGTGCGGTTACAAGGACCGGCTCTGATGCAGGAGACCCGAGTTCGACCCCTGGTAAGGTGATGGAGTTTTTCTTTTGGGGGGAAAGTTAAATATCCTTACCTGCAAAGCCTGTACAAACAGAACTAGGCAGGCCCCCCACCCCCTAAATATTCAGGCTAAGGGCTCCCTCTGTTCACACGGCCCCAAAATGTATTAAAACAGACAGCAGTGAGAGTTTTTATGACAGCAGAGCAAGTTTGGGAATATAGAAGATGTGAACATAATTCTTTTTTGTGGAATCTAACAAGGCATATTACTGAGTACATAGAAGCAGTTTATGGAATGCTATGATGGACTTTGAAATACCAAAGAATTTAATCACCATGAGGAAAACATGTATGGAAGACACCTATAATATAGTAACATAGCAAGGCGGAAAGTCAGACCCTTCTCAAATAACATCTGGTTTAAAGCGAGATGATGCTTTGTCACCACCTTTTTTTTTTTTTAAGCATGGCCCTGAAGAAAATTATGAGGATATTGAAACAAGAATGTACAACAGGAGAAAGAAACTACACACATACTTGAATATGCAGATGACAATGATATCTTTGGAGAATGTTAACTAGACCAGTAGTTTTATATAGCTCTGAATTTTAGGTACAGCTAAAATAGATGAATACGTATTACATAATTTCAGAAACAGTCTTACGACGAATCTTTGTACCTATCAAAGATGCAAACAACATGAAATGGGGAGTGAGAGGCAATAAAAAAGATTCATAATCTGTTTACATTACCAATGATCACTGGCATCATGAGGTCGAATAGACTGAAATGGCTGGGATATATTAGGAGAATATGTTACAGAGATAAAAACTGTAATCATAAGAGAGCTGAATGGTGGTAGACCACGAGGCAGACCAAGAAGACGATGGAGACAATTCTGCAAACACTCGGTGTCACCAACTGGAAAGAGAGGGCCAACCAGAGAAATGAATGGAGGCTGGTGATATCTGCAGCAATGAACCCCACGAGCTTGGAATGCTGAAGAAGAAGAAGAATTTGTGTGTGATACCTACACCACAGCAGTCCAAGAAAATCTCCCTGTAACAAAGATACAGACTGGGACATTAGTATTTAGTTCCAGCAGATCTGATTCTATTACACCTTGGACTGTGTGCAAGGATTTTTTTTTTTTTTTAAATAAGGTATAAAATAAAATACTTCTATAATCATATCTTTACGAGTGAATGGATTTCGCACTTTGAATCAATAAAGCCGAAAAATGATTAGGTAATATCATGTCAATACAGTCATACATGGGATTGATGAGAGTTAAGGGAGACTGACGATTAAATGCATTGTTCGTTAAACTTCATTATAAGCTCAAGAGATTAAATGCTTGCTGATGATTGGATCGTGAAATACTGGTGATGGTAATGATTGGTGCCGTCCTAACCTCGACCATAGCCGCTACCAATGTATGTGCATTTATGTCTCATTATTATGCATAATTAGAACACTGTCAAGTCAGTGATGATTTTAATCTTCACAGGTCTTGTTTAAGAAAAGCTGTCGTTTGTATTCACTTGTTATAACTATTTAGAATGTATGAGTGCGATCGTGTCTGTGTAGAGTGTAAATTATGAGTGCGATCGTGTCTGTGTAGAGTGTAATGTATGCGTGCGATCGTGTCTGTGTAGAGTGTAATCGTGTCTGGGCAGTGTAGTGTGTGAGTGTGATCGTGTTTGTGTAGAGTGTAATGTTTGAGTGCGATCGTGTCTAGGCAGAGTGAAATATATGAGTGCGATCGTGTTTGTGTAGAGTGTCATGTATGAGTGCGATCGTGTCTAGGCAGAGTGTAATTTATGAGTGCGATCGTGTCTGAGCAGATGTAATGTATAAGTGCGATCGTATTTGTGTAGAGAGTAATGTATGAGTGCGATCGTGTCTGGGCAGAGAGTAATTTTTAATCAGCAGGAATTGTAAGTAAAATGAAACTCTAATATTCGTCAGTGCTTCGTTCTTTGTGGGAGGTCGAATACTGAAAGGGATAAATGAAGCAAGTTTCTCCACAGACTGACTGACTGACTGACTTTCTACCCCACTAGGACATCACACAACCGATAAACACCCGATGACTTTAAAGTGCCACCATATGGATGAGGATCGCTGTGGAGAGATCCCAGAAACCGCGTTCAGACAATTAGCCATATTTATGGCCTGCCTATATTGCGGCCCCTGGCAAAAGCCAGGGTGGGGCTTCGAATAACAAAAAAATGTCGTCCTAAAAAGGACGCAACTAGTTAATAGTGTTTTCTCCACAGCAGTTAACTAAGAATGGTTTAATATTGGCATGGACAAATACTGGAGTTTTACTGTATGCAACTGTGGTAAGTTATGGTTGGCATCTTTATCAGCGTGAGTCTAGTTTTCATTAAACGACAGATGGCAAATTGCAATTTTTTAAGATAGATACCAAATTTGTTTTTCATATTTTTGTCTGCAGCAATCAAGCCGCTCTACGTTACCAGTGTCGTTGGGATACAGTTTCCGGGTTGCTGCCCCTGGTGAAACCATACGCATAGAAGGTTTTAGCGTAGAAATTGCCACCGTTGTACACAATGATGCCTACCCCGCTAAATCTGGATTTAACATATTTATGAACGGCTGGGTGAGACATAAAGAACCGACTAGCTTCAAATGTTGTCTGTTACGTTCATCTTCTAATGGGACACTGGTGGACGATGTTAAAACGGAAGTCAGGTCATACACTTATAACATCTATACTCAATGGATCGTGGAACGGCAGAACGCTGAGTTTTCCTGTTCTGTGTCCAGTACGCAAATTACTGCAATCGGAAAGGCTAATTTCAGCTACGTGACTTTCGCTAAAGACTCATGTCTGAAGGCTCCTGTCGTAGTCTTGCCAATACTATACCCTCAGCCAGTGCCCAACTCCGTCTGTGTCTGTCTGAAAATCACGTATGGAAATTTGAAGCCGGAAAAAGTGATTGAGTGGTTCGAGTATACGCGACACATGGGCACCACTAAAGTGTTTACTTACTATGCTGAAGTAACAACTCCAGTGTTGAAAATACTGCAGTACTATCAGAGTATCGGATTTCTAGAAATGTTGCCGTTGGAGCCAGTGGTGTCCGCAGGTCAGACCCAATGTTGTTTGTTCAGATGTTCACTGTTTGTGTAGTACAGTTTACTTATACCACTAGTAGGTTACGGTCATACATATTGTCATGGTATTGCCAAACTGCTCTCACTATCCTTCTCTCTACTTGACTATCTCTAGTATACTTCGGTCCTATATTTTTAAGAAATTTCTTGTACACCTTTTATGTTTGGGTTCGTGAGCAACTTTATCGTGTCATTATATCTTCACTGACTGTTTGTAATACTGGTAACATGAACGGGTGAATATCCCAGTTCCATAACAAGAACATTTTCTACATCAAGACTGACTGGATTTAAACAGCGAATAGGAAGCTCTACTAAAGGAAATACATATAATTAGACAATAGGAACACCTTTCAATGTCAATTGTGTCTGTAGTTTCTCTTTACCCCTTATCACAGGCTTCCACAACAACGCAAATGTAAGGAACTGTCAAACTCCATATCACCTTTGTGGTTTGCAACATTTATTTATTTTTTTGTTGTTGATTCCACTCCTGGGCATTTCATGCATTCGTCTGTGTTAACTAGCTTCCTCTATAGACGTTTATTTTGATTTTATGAAACAGTAAATGATTCTTCTTTTTCCTCTTTAGCATTCCGAGTTCTTGAGGGTCATTGCTGCAGATATCACCAGCCTTTACTTATCTCTATGACTGTGACTCATTTTCCAGTTGGGATTCCAAGTGTGTGTGTGTGTGTGGGTGGGATGCGAGTGGGGGGTGGGGGTGGTGTCTGCTTGAATATTGTCTCTCCGCTGTCTTCTTGGTCTGCCTCGCAGTCTACGGCCATGCATCTTACTTGTGAATACAGTTCTTACTTCTCTTTTATTCGCCATCCTCTTTGTCTGTCCCAGCCATATAAGTCTGTTAGCCCTCTTGCTGCCAGTGATAATTTGTGATCTACACAAAATGTGAATTTCACTTTTGCTTCTTCTTCTATGTCCCCCACTGTTTGCATCTTTTATGTGTTTAGATATTCGTCATAAGACGGTTTTCATACAATAATAATAAAAGTAATAATAAGGTTTCATCTATATAAAACTGTGTGAAACATGAAGAAATAACCAAACTGTCGGAAAAGCTAAACACTGATGGAAAAGATTTACGAATTATGAAGAACATATATTAGCAGCAAACAGCAGCTAAAAGAAGTAATAACTTTTTGGGAACATTTCGGAGCAAAAAGCGGAGACTGAACAAAAAATGATTTGTACTATAACATGACATATTTTCATTATGCAATGAATTTATAATGAGATATATCATGTATATGCCAGGAATTTCGGTTAGTGGTCATAACATAAACAACCTGCCGACGACACCGACACCGTTTTCATAGCGACAAGTTGCAAAAAACACCAGGAATTGATAGATACGGTGGTGGCAAAAAGTTTTAAAAAATGGACCTCAGTTTGAACAGTGAGAAGACAGAAGTAATGGTGATTTCCAAGAAAAGAATAGTGCTTAAATGTAAAAAAAAAAAGTTAAATACGTTATTATGGGAAAGGTACATACAGTTAAGTATCTAGGCACATAAATAACATCTGATGGAAGATACATCAAACAGATAAAAAACATAATAGGACAAACCAAATCTGCATTTTATAAAATAAACAAATAATGTATGCTTTTAACCCATGTCATTGGAGGTTAGGCAAAGAATGTATGCATGCTATATAGAGCCAGTTTTAATATACAGCTGTGAACCCTGGACAATTAATAAACAAGCCGTACAATATATTGAGGCCTCAGAGATATGGTTTTACAGAAGAATCCTTATAATTCTTGGACAACTTAGAAGAGTAACCAAGATGTTTTGAAAGAGGCGAGTGCTCGGAGACAATTTACAACAAACGTCAGAAATAGACTCAGAATTGTTTTGGCCAACTACTGTTGAGCAATTTTTTTTTTTTAGAAACTCATCTGTCAGTCAGCTAATATATCTTCTACGTAAAGTGTCAGTCTGTTTCAAAGTACCATTGATGACATCTTATAGTCTGGAGACAATAGTGATATCTATACTAAAAACTGAAAATCTATGTATGTATCAGTCTGCATATTTCTCTTTTACAAGAACTCCGCCTAAAAGGGCCTAGAAGAGGAGTGAAATTTGCAGCTACAATTCTGGCTGCAATATCTAAGCTTTCTGTGTTATTTTCAACAAGCTTTCTGCGTTTTTCTACAAATTAATTTATTTCCTGAACCTACATATGTTCTTCATTCCCTGAAGAGATTTGTTTGAAAAGATGTCTCGCTGTTATCTCCCGCGAAAGCACAGTGGCTAGAATAGTGTGTCCCAAAGGGAGCACTTTGTTATTTGTTGCTAAAGTTTTAACAGGTATACTGAGGTGGCAAAAGACAGGAAATGATGGAGCTATGGAATAAGTAGATTTGCAAAGAAATCAATCCCTTTATTCATCATCGCCTAAACATATTGTATAAACCCGAGTACTGACATGCTTGATAACATTCTTTATCTTCTGTACTATTCGTAAGACCCAATAGTAGTGTCCAAGATCATTTTGTATATCTCAATGATAGATTGCACAATATGACTACACAAAACACAATACACGTATCTGCCATGTGGATTAAGTTTAGATGATATCGTAGTGTTCTCTTATCATATCCATCTAAAATGGGGAAAGTTTGGGTTCCGTTTCAGCTGAATCATTCTTTTCACTTTCACTTTTTTTTTTTTTCAAACACTTTCTGGAACGGATTGCCCAAGTTCTATCTTTGTATTTCCTTCACTATCAGAATCACTAAATAAAGAAGTAAATTAAATTGTTGCTTTAATTTTTTTGCCTCTAGTGTTGCATCTGCTTGATCTGTTTTTGGTGTCCTCAGAATATGTATCTTTCCATGACTTATTTGTAGTTCAAACCTTGATGCTATATCTGTTAAACCATCTGTTTTCATTTGCATGTAGTTGTTGTTTGTACTTAGCAGAACAAAATTATAAGCAAAATGAAGATTTCCACCCAGTCAATGTCGGTGTTTGTAGAACAACGTTTCTTCATCACCCAGTCAATGTCGGTGTTTGTAGAACAACGTTTCTTCATCACCCAGTCAATGTCGGTGTTTGTAGAACAACGTTTCTTCATCACCCAGTCAATGTCGGTGTTTGTAGAACAACGTTTCTTCATCACCCAGTCAATGTCGGTGTTTGTAGAACAACGTTTCTTCATCACCCAGTCAATGTCGGTGTTTGTAGAACAACGTTTCTTCATCACCCAGTCAATGTCGGTGTTTGTAGAACAACGTTTCTTCATCACCCAGTCAATGTCGGTGTTTGTAGAACAACGTTTCTTCATCACCCAGTCTTTGGTTATGCCAAATAACAGAGGGTTTAAAATGACTCTCTGTTTCACTCCAGTATCAACATTAAACCAATCATTTAAACCATCGTCGGTTGCACTGCACACTCTGAACCTTCATATATTGCCTTAATAATGAGTTTTTTCTTTGGTGTACTGTATCATACCAAAATTTCCCATAGTGATATAAACTTTCAAAATTTTCTTTAAGTCAATGAAATAAGATTTAGAAAAAAAAATGGCTAAAAAATATGTCTCATAGTAAATACTTGATCTAATCATCTTTTACCAGGTCGCAAATCTGCTTGTTCATCTCTCAGGAATTTGTGCCCCACCCATCTTAATTCTACTGATAATTATTTTACAAAAAGTCTTTGACATTACTGATAGAGTAACTAATTTTACTGATAATTATTTTACAAAACGTTTTTGACATTACTGATAGAATAACTAATTCTACTGAGAACTATTTTACAAAAGGTCTTCGACATTCCAGATAGAGTAATTATTTGTACTGAGAATTAGTTGGCAAGAGGTTTTTGACATTACTGATAGAGTAATTAATTCTACTGAGAATTATTTTACAAAAGGTCTTTGACATTACTGATAGAGTAAATAATTCTACTGACAATTATTTTAGAAAAGGTCTTTGACATTACTGATAGAGTAAATAATTTTGCTGACAATTATTTTACAAAAAGTCTTTGACATTACTGATAGAGTAAATAATTTTACTGAGAATTATTTTACAAAAAGTCTTTGACATCACTGATAGAGTGATTCTTCTCCAGCTGGTACAGTCAGTAAGATTACCTTTCTTAGGAATTTAACAGTTATTCCTTTCTTCTACTGATCTGATATTTGTTTCCCTGTGTCCATATTCTACTAAACAAATCTTTCACTCGGTTCATGGTTACATCATCTGCTGCCTTTAGCATTTCTGCAGTGATATCATCATCACCTGCTGTCTTATTGTTCGTTGATGAACCGTTTGCCTCCCTGATTTCTGTCGTTTATGAGTTCTAAATTTATTGGTAATATGCCATTTTAGTCTCATAAATATCTACAAATTTATTATTTACAGCAATAATATATACGTTATTATTATATACAGCAATATTATATAGAGCATTATTATTCAGAGCATTAATATATACAGCCTTACACATCATTATTATTTACAGCAATAAAATATTCATTATTAATATATACCACATTATTATTTACAGCAATAATATATACATAAATAATATATACATCAAAAATATATACATCATTATTATATACAGTATTAATATTTGTAGCATTATATAAACATCATTATTATATAAAGCATCAATATATACATCATTATTATATACATCAGTAAAAAAAACTGCAATAATATATACAATATTATTATATACAGCATTATTATTTACAGCATTAGTATATACAGCATTAATATATACAGCATTAATATAAACAGCATTAATATATACAGCACTAATATATAGAGCATTAATATATACAGCATTTATATTTTACAGCATTGATATATACATCAATAAAATTATCAATAATATATACAGCATTATTATATACATCATTAATATATACAGCATTATTATTTACAGCATTATTATATACATCAATAATATATACAACATTAACATTTACAGCATTAATATGTACAGCATAAATATACACAATAATAATATATACAGCATTGAAATATATAGCATAATATTTACAGCAATAACATTTACTGCTTTAATATATACCGACGTTACTGAGTTTTCTTTGTCCTCTGCAAATATATCTGAGATTGAAGTTTCTTGTAATCCTTCTTTATTTTACTCTGGATATAACCTGTGCTGCGAAGTGTAGAACCATCTCTTTAGTTGTGTGTGTATGTGTGTATTTGAATTGGGCAGCAATCAGGAAGCATTGGCCTGTGGCTCGGCTTTTCTGTAGCTTCTAACTTACAAAACATTGTCATTGAAGTCCATTGCTGTCAAAATTATAATTATTTAAACAAATAAAAAAAAAGATTGAGGTGTAATGGACACGTCCTTAGAATGAAGAAAGACAGACGACCGAGACAGACAATGCCATGAACACTACACGAACAGCGAGGAAAAAGCAAACCCAGAAGCCCTTGGAGAAGAAATTTTTAGGCTGATCTCAAGGGTATGCGAATGACAAAACATGAGATAGAGAGGATGGCTCAGGATCGAATCAAGTTTCGACAGTTTGTCTCTGCCTTACGTGCCTGTGGGCGCGATGGGAAGTGGTTGATTGATTGCTGTCACAATTCACACATGCAAGACCGTTTTCTTGGGAGGTTAACATCAGGGAATCCTGTGCTACTGTCCTCACGACTTCAGATTACTCATTGAGGTCTGGATACTCATTGAGGTCTGGATACTCATTGAGGTCTGGAACATGGAACAGGTCTGAAGAAGAGAAAGGAAGAGCACTCCTTGACAGATACCTCAAGCAAATCTGCACGCAGAAACTGCCACCCGTCTGACTACCATGGATATGGTCGTTGCAACATGTGCCTGTACGGGCAATAAAGAAAGATGATCAGCTTATTACGGTCGCTGAAAATAAGAACATCAGCAAAACATCAAAGAAGGCTGCTCCTGGCCCTAATGGTATTCATTATGAAGACATTGCCAAGCTGCCCACCAAATCTATGAAGGTCCTATGTAAAGCCTACAATGATATCACCTGTAATGGTATCAGCTCAGAAAGCTGGCTGCATAGCTATTTGATTCCGCTAGAAAAACCTGGCAACGACGCCACGCACATAAACGGCTATAGAATCATTATGATGCAGAACACATTAGGCAAACCATTGGAAAAGATAATAGCGAGTAGTCTAGCAAGCCATGTAGAAATACGTCAGCTGCTACTTTCGACACTTGGAGGATACAGACACAACACGGAGACATGGCGTAATGCTGCCGTGTTTGCACATGAAACATATTAAGGTTATCAAGCTAGATTTGAAACATGTGAAGTCGCCATAGAACTGGAGGATGCCTACAATAAAGTTCCTTTCTACCAACTAATGTGTCAGTTAATTGAACTCAACACCCCCCCCCCCCCCCACCCCACATCTCATTCGATGGATATCTACGGCAACTTTCCAGAGGAAAATCGTACTTCGATGTGGTAGTTGGTCTTCTGAGCCGATAACAATACACCCTGGTTGGCCTCATGGTTCTCCATTGTCTCCTATCCTCTTCAACATTTACACAGCCAAGATCACAGGAGAAAACTGAGTGGCAGAGGAAGAACTTTATCATATGCGGATGACATCCTTGTGTACCAACAGGGCAGGAACAGAGATGGCATTACAACAGGAATTAGATCGCACATCATCCTGGTGCAAAACCTCAGGAGCAACAATTAATCCATCAAAAGCGACAGTCACCTGGTTCTCATTAAATAATCACCTTTCTAAAACACTAATGCCGTTAGTAAAATTCTGTGGCGCTAACGTGGAGAGATCTGATTCCATAAAATACCTGGGTTTAACATTTGACAGATGCTTAGCATTTAAAAAACACGTATACCATATTATAACCAAAGCCAAGAAAGGTCTCTGCAAAAAAAGTTATGGGAGCTGTAAACTTTGAGCAACGGCTAGTTGTAATGTTTTATCGTGCATTAGTTCTCTCCACCAATTAATATGCCTTAGCCATCATGACAATCAGCACCACACAGATGAATAGACTGAAAAACAAATTGAAAACGAGGCAATGCAAATTATTCTTGAATGGACTAGAGACACCTCCTGTAAATCCATGCGATACCTCTTGGATTTCCCCACAATGGAAAACAGAATGAAGTTATCCAGGGCTTTTGATTTCCTCAAAGTGAAATCAGACCATCGACACCCACTTTATAAGGAATTATTCAAGCCAAAAAAAAAAAAAAAAAGAGTAGACTCAGACGAGGCAAATCCTGGATGGGTCGGGCTGAGGATGCCATCGAACATGTTTGACGCCTCACTGACATTAATTTTAGAATTGAATGGATCATTATCCTCCATCTCAAAACATTATTATTACAGTCCATATCAAACTTGATGAAAGCTGTAGAGAGCAGATTCCTAGCATTGTTGACACATTAGTCAGAACACGGATCGACGAAAACACAGATGAAGGTGATGCTATAATTTACACGGAGGTGTCAGTCATTAGGGGCAAGCGAAGTGCATGGCATTCACAGTAATCTCAAAGGGGAAAAAATCAAGGAGATAAATGGTGCCTTTGCTGTTAAAACTAGTAACCTTACAATGGAAACTATGGCTGTAATAAGTACTTTAGCATGGCTTGGTACTCAAAAGTTAACAGACATATGCATTCTTAGTGATAAAAATGCTTTAAAAAATCTAAGCTGGATTTATCAGGCAAGAATGGATGGAAACACTAAGCACTTGGAATGTCTGCCCTAACCTTCATCTATGTCCTCTTTGTGCCATGTCATGGGAGTGTTTAAGGGAACGAGCGTGCAGACTATTCTGCTGACACTGCAGTTGCTATGCCTGACCCAGTACTGGACAGAAGTAATGTTATCAATGTTATGCGCATTAAAAATTAATGATTCACGTAAGCCAATAAATATTATCAAATATAAATAGTGTTCACATACTTGAGGGATAAGTGGTGGGAGAGGGTGAAGTGGATAAGTAGGAGAAGAAAAAAGAAAAGGATGCGGAGAGGATAAGGAGGAAGGGAAGAAGAAGAGCAGCAATAAAAAACAGCAAGTATAACAAGAACGACAAGAAAAACAGGTGATTACTGCATAGAACTGGCTGGGTTTTGCATAACATATGCAAATTATTCACCTTACCACTGCAAAGAGCCTGAATACACTTCGAATGTGAAATTATCCTTATTATAAAATGATAGTTTAGCCTTAAGAATAAAAAAAAAAGGTAATTAGCAAATGTTGATAGACAAACTAGTTTTATAAAACAGACATTATGATTTGATTGCGACAAAATCCTGTTTTAAGCAGATTTAATCTTCTCACAAGTATTTTCTGGTTTTCCTTTACAGCATTTTTTCTTCTCTATTGTTCTTGTGGTTCTTGGTCTCGTTCTTATTATTCTTGTTTTGTTTTTACTGTTGCCCTTTTTCTCCTCTTTCTCCTCCTCCTATTTCTCCTCCTTCTACTACTTATCCGCCACTTGCCCCTCAAGTATGTCGAATGAACTGTGAAAACTGTCGACAGATGGCCAGAAAATATCGATAGCGAAACCAACATTTCCGCAGCAAGCATGGGTGGATGAAGTCATGGCAGCCAATGACTGTAAGCACAGGATGGCCAAGTATGACTTTATCATCATCATGGATATGGATGAGATCATTGTGCCACAAGGAAACATGACTTCCTATTTTGACATATTACAGGTTTGTGAGAAATAACATTTTTTTTTTCTTGGTATTGATGTTAGTTATAGTACCAAAAACTATAATTGCGAGCATGCAATACTCGTCGTAATCACAATCAAGTGTCTTGTCGTCTGGCGCGGGTGATCATGCTTCTCCACAATCTGCGATTTTCCGCAGCATGTATTATTAGTTTGTGTGCTGACACACCTCCATGCCATGCAACAAGACTGTCAAGAATCTTCTCTCGTTGTCTTTCTCTATCCCTCTTTTCCATGATCTTTCCAGTGGTCACAACATGTTTCATTTTCCCTCTTTTCATAACATGGCCAAAAAAAGATGACTGTCTCCTTCTGATGTCTCTGATTAGTTGTCTTCGAGTCCCGCCTCTTTTAAAATCTCTTGGTGCTATTTTAATGTTGCTGTTTTTCTTCTATTTTGATTTGTTTGCTCTTCTGAAAAGCCACATCTCTGGGGCCTCAAGAAATTGTTTGGCCTGCCTACTGATTGTCCAGGAGTCACAGCCATATGTTAAAACTGGATGTATGTAGCAAGCAAGAATTCTTTTTCTAATCCTCAATCATAAAGATATATTGCATAAAATGTTTTTTATTTTATAAAATGCAGTTTTTGCCTGTCCTATTCTGTTTCTTATCTCAGTAATGCATATTCCATCAGTTGTTATCCATGTGCCCAGATACTTACATTTCTGTACTTGTCTCAAAATTACACAATTAACTTTTATTACACATTTAGGAATAATTATGTTCTTTTATACCATCAATTCTTCTGTCTTTCTATTATACAAACTGAGGCCCATTCTTCGACTTTCTAACACCACAATGTCAATCATTTCCTGTAGTTCTTTCTGGCTTGTTGCTATCAAGACTGTGTCATCAGCATAACGCAAATAGTTTATATTGTGCCCATCGAACCACAATTCCTGGCATATAAATTAAAGAGCTCATTGTATATTCAATGTAGTGTAAAAAAAAAAATATATCAGGTTACAGTATACATCCTTGTCGTACAACCCTATTTATGCACTGAAATGTACCTAAATAGTTGTTAATTTTTATAGCTGCTGTTTGCTGCCAGTAAATAATCTTTTTTATTCGTAGATCTTTTCCATCAATGTTTAATTTTTCTACCATTTGAATTACCCTAATTTTGTATATTCTATGAAGCATAAGTACAAATCAGTCTTTACTTCTATAGCTCTTTCTGACAATGTCCTTAGGATGTATGTATATGGCATTGTTTGTACCTCTTCCATCTACAAATAATCAACATTGTTCATAGCTGATTTCTGGTTTAATTTTGTCTCTTATTCTTCTCATAATTATTCTCCCTTGAATCTTAGTCATGTGACTCGGAAGACTTTTTGTGCGATGGTCTTTACATTTTAAAGTGCCTGTTTCTTTGTCAGAGTTATAAATATGGATTATAAAAGGTAATTTGGAATATACCCACTATTATAAATAACATTTAAAAGTTGTGTTATTATTTCAATTCCAAAATTTCCCAGTTCTTTAGTTTCTTCCATTGAGATGTTGTCTGGCCCGGGTGCTTTTACTTTCTTCTTGTGATGCAATGCATCCTCAACTTTTGCAGCCATTATTGGTGGACCATCATTTGTTGGTCTGCAGTTCTACATCTGGTCTATTATCATTATACAATTCCCCTATATACTCTGTCCATCTGTTAATTATATTACTATGTCCCATTATTAAGTCGCCATCTTTTGATTTTAAACCTCCAGTGCTGTTACGTGTCATCTTTCATGTTAACATATTTATCTATTGGTACATGGAATGTTAGTCTTTCCTGATGTTCTGTGGTGCTTTCTTAATATTCTTTAATTTTATTTTAATCTTTCCTTAAACTGAAACAGTGTGCTCCTGGTCTAGTTTTTGCTCCCATAAAGCCGCTCCATAATCTTCTTGAAATCAAAATATAATCAATTTGATTGGGGACATTATCGCCAGGACTTTTCCAACTTCACAATCTTCGAGCATGGTGTCTAAACCAGGTGTTACCTATTATCATGCAGTGCGACTCAGCCCATGTTATTAATCTGTCACCTCTCACATTTTTTTCTCCCATTCCATAGCCACCCGTCATTCCGTACACTTTTTCACTTCCTATTTTCGCGTTGAAATATCCAAGTACCATTTTTACTTCCCAATTTTTGCATTGATCAACAGCCATGTCTAATTCGTCATAAAATGCGTCAATATCTTCCTCTGAACTATCTGCTGTTGGGGCATAAATCTGTACTATGTTGATGTCAAACAGTCTGCCGTGAATTTTTACTAATAGTACTCTATCTGATATTGTCCAAGATCCTTTCACAGTTTTTGAATTCTTTGCATCCAAAATAAAACCAACTACGTAACTATATTCCTTTCCACCTGAGTAAATAATGCTGTGCTGATACAAATACTTTTCCCCTGCTCCTGGCCATCGCATTTTACCAATTCCTAATATGTTGATGTTCATTCTCTTCAATTCCATCTTGATTTTATCCAGCTTTCGTTTTGTACGAGTGTTCTGACATTCCATGTAACAATGTTCAGGATGTTTTTAACTTTTTCTTCAGGAGCCGGATGACGGTCGGGTATCACCCATAGAACATGATGCTCCCTACTGGAATCCCCATTTACGTCGTTATTTTAATTCATAATGTTTTGAGGCATGACTCGCGGTGGTTTCCCCTTCCCTTCGGCAGGTTTGTATATGGCTTGACTCCAATAGCCTGTGTCTAAGGAGGCTTACCCTGCGAGGCAGCAGAGGGAGAGGTTATGGCGCCTCTTACGCGCCGATGGCCATGTCACAGTTTTGAGATATTTTATAGAGTTAGATTTCCAACCAACTAACTTGCCTCCTCTCAATGACCATCACCTGTTTTGGTCCACGGCCACTTTTCAATATATTCATGGCTAGCCTCTATATCTAGAAGCCTTTCCACCATCCGCTATCTTCCTCTGATCCTCGAGGTATCCAGTCTGGGGTAGAATTTGGCCATCTGGACTCTGTAAACCTTTGTCATTTAAAAATGTATTTTGTTGTTGCTGCTATTATTATTATTATTATTATTATTATTATTATTATTATTATTATTATTATTATTATTATTATTATTGTTATTATTATTATTATTATTTGTTTAAACTGACGAACTATTTGCCTTTCAGTCATGGGTATTTGATCATTCAGTAGGACTGGAATTTGAGGCCGTGTTACACGAATCCACCCTTCATCAGGAATCTGTGGTTTGACAGGGACTGATGAGTCCATACGTTTTTCAGTGTGGTTTTTCTTGTGCTGACAACTCTAGTGTTCCAGCGTTTGTCGTGGTTCTGTGTCAGTTCAAAGGGGACGTGACTATCGTCCATGGAAGAAGTAGAGTAAATATTATCAAAGTCTTGCATTAGGTTGTGTGAGACCAGCACAGAACCCGCTGGTTTCTAAAGTGAAGTACAGGCTCACCATTTATGTGCAGCATTACAACTTTGGGTGTCACTGGAGCGTACTGTCAAACGCTTGCCTGACTGCCCGAGAGTCATTTGTTCAAATGTGAATTTGTACGACTGACCCAGGCTAAAAAACGTTATAGACGGCTTCTAAGAATATCACAGGTAAAGAAAATAACAAATGCATCTATACTTCAAGAACTGAATATTGAAGGAGGTTGACCATTAAAGACAATAAAACTCAGAAAATTTGAAATATTTTTTTCACTTGAAACATCACGAATGTTTAAAAAGAACAATAATAGAGGAGTATATGCCTGGGAAGAGAGAAAGATGAAGGCCAAAGAGAAGATGGGTGCAGGATGTGGCGGATGATCTCTCATGATGGGTATCGGAATCGGGACATCTTGCTTGTGATCAAGAAGTTTTCCGGAAGGTTGTTATGAGAGCCAAGTGTTGCAAAAGACATGCTACTGACAGACATACTGACTGATTGACAGACGCAGGCTACCGCGTGGTCTTAGTTTACCTTGGAAACTTGTACATTTACTTGGAATGACAGATAACCGACGTGATATTGACTACATTAAGAAAAACAACAATAACAACTAAACTATAATTATAAAATATACAGAGAGAAGATAACGTCGAGCATAAATACATCTACACATTTCAATCAGTCTGTATCAACGGACAAAGTAAAGAACAAACACAAAATGCCATTTCCTTCCTTCCGCTGAGTTGTGTAGTCAGAAACTGTGTTGTGTTCTCTTATGCGTTGACATCGGCTCTACTGTAGTCACATCTGTTGACGTAACAATTGTTGATCACACCATCCAACGACTAGCAGATGGTCTATACAGTTATGCATCTAAACCATATGCCTTATGCGGCAGTAGAGTAAACAGGGCTCATCACTTACTCACAAGCTGTTTTCATGTCAAAACCAGAGGAAACTCCCAGCACTCTGAGGCTTATAAAGTTTGTTTTTCATAACTGACCTCCATAAAATCCCTTTTCTCTAGTCTGACGTAAAATATGACTGAAGACTTTATACGTGTTTACTTAGGTTTGAGGTATCTGTTAACATATATTAGATCCATAATCGCGTGTTACTGTCCGTCTAATGACGGTAAACGTTTGTGTGTGGATACGAAGTCTTTATTTTTTTTTTTTTTTGGTAGAAGGTAACCGGTGTTTATATCAGTATCAGTTCTCGTTATGACTAGTGGCACATGAGGCTTCACAGAGGACTTGTCGTGCTTTCCTGTCTTGTGCAATCTTCAGTGCAGTTTTCCATGTCAAAGATGCCACCCTCAGGTCACTTTCCATCGTTCGTCTCAATGTTTTTTTTTTTTTTTTTTGGCGCCCCTGTTTTTTCTTTCCCTCTGTGTCCATGTGAGAGCTGTTCTGGCAGGTATATCAGGATTCATTCTCAAAACGTGGCCAAGAAATATTTCCACTTCTCTTTGTGTTTAAAGTCTGCCAAATTCCCATCAAAACTTGATTAAAATTGAGAAGTCGACTTGCACGCAGCAGGTTGTA